CCGGCCACGGGGCCAGCCCAGCCAAGCAGGACGAGCTAGTCATCCCAGCACGCTAGCACCCGCTGCCCTGCCCACCGGTCCCAGCCAAGCAGGTGGCCCACGGGCACCTGGTGGCTGCCCCCGGCTGGGCAGCTTCGAGGAGAAGCCCTCAGGGGGCCGGTTTAGCCTTAGGCGTGGGGCACCGCTGCTGAGCTGGGGGTCCGCATCCCTACCTCAGCTTGGGTCTCCCGAAGCCAGGGTGGCTGGGATCTGGTCCCCAGATAGGGGGAGATGGGGAGGGGCACGGAGCAGGGAGGGGCCCGGTGTGGCCTGCCAGGCGGAGGAGCACACAGCCTGCCTGCGCCTCATGGGGCGTTCTGGCACCCCCTGTCCCAGAACAGGCAGTGGGCAAGCTGGCCCCCACCGCCGCTCTCTGGTTGCTGTCCCAGGGCCGAGACGGGGAGCAGCCCCCTCCCCACACATTTTCTGTGGCCCAGGCTGGCATCTGCCCTGACCACCCCCCAGATCCGGTGCCTGCTGGCCAGCCCCCTGGGGTGCCCTCGCTGAGGTGACCCACAGTGCTGTATATGTTTACAGAGCTGCTGGGCTGGGCTCAGGGTGTGTCCTGGCTTGCAAGCTGCCCGTCCAGTCACGGTTCAGTAGTCCCCTCTGAGTGGGGGCCTGGAAGAGAGTGGGGTCAGGACCGCCCTTCCTCTGCTCCGGGCCCTCTCTCAAGGGGTCTTGGGTACCCAGGCCTGCCCTGCGCCTGCTACTTCTGGCTTCCTGGCTCCCCTGCCCCCAGGGAGCCTCCCACATGGAGAGTAGTGGGCACTGCAGTCAGTGCCCTGGGAGGAGGCAGGCACCCCCAGCCCCCTTCCCCTGAGAGTCCTACCTGACCCCTTTATTTCACTCCGCCACGCTAGGCAGCTTGGGGCCTGGGAATCTGGAGCCCACACACCCTGCCCTCTCAGCTCTCCCTCCTCACTGGCCTGGGCGCCCTCCCACCCCCCCCATCCTGCGGCAGAAGTGGCCGAGAGTGGGGCACCATGGCCCTGGCTGGAGGTCCTCTGCCCAGGGAGGGGCTGGGAGGGCCGGAGCTCAGGGGGCTGCCCTGGGGTGGCCTGAGGACAGCCAGGTTGGGGGCGCTGCTGGGAGATGGAGCCCAAGCCTCTCCCTGGAAGGTGGGAGGAGGTCGTGCATGTGGGCGTGTGTGCATGTGCATGGGTGTGCACTGCTCCCGAGGAGGGGGGCCGTGGGGGCGCCCCACCTGCCCTGTCTGCCTGCTGGCAGTCCTCCCAGCCTGCCAAGGAAGCAGGGTGGGTGTGACGGGTCTTGGGGTGGGGCCACGGGACGAGCTCAGCCTCAGATGCCCTCTGTCCCTGCTGTGTCCCTGGTTTGGAAGCCAGTGTGTGCCCAGGCACTAGCCACACAGCTGACAGCCTGCCCGTGCCTTTGTGTCCGCAGAGGAATGCCTCCCCATGCCAGCCCCTCCCCACCACATTCCGCCCCCGGCACACAGCTGGGACGGGCTCGCACGGCTGTCCTGGAACCCCTGCCCGCCTTGACAGAGGGGACAGACCTGGGAGCTGGGCCTCCCCTCATCCTCTGTGACCCCCACCCTCGCCAGGCCCCAGGCCACCCTGCACCGCTGAGGCCTAGCCTCAGCCTAGCCTCAGCCCAGCACAGAAGCAAGACGAAATTCGTGGCTCTTGGAGTTTAGAAACCAAGACAAAGTCTTAAATCAGAGAAAAGTTCCAACAAACACCCTGATCGATTGCAGAGACTGGCCTTTTAATTCCTCTTCTGCCAGGGTGGGTCCTGGGACCTCTGGGGAGGGCGTGCCGCCCACCCATGCCCGGGACTGAGCCATCAGGGACAGACCCCCCCACCCCCAAGGCTGCAGCCACACTGTGTTTCAGGCTTGGGGCTGGGGCAGGCTCGGACTCAGCCCTGGGCACCCAGGGGCGCCCCACCCCTGGCCTGCCCCTCCCACCTGGCCTCCAGGGGGCAGGGCTGCTGCACGCCTCCGTCCTCTGCCCCGTCCCACACGTGCAGGGTCTGAGCTACCCTCTCAGCCCAGCTTAGCTCACACCAATCCCCACTCGTCCCCAGACCCGCAGCAAAAGCGCTCCAGCGTGCGCTGGCCTGTCCCCCCGGGGGCCTGGGCGACTCCATATGCAACCGGCAGCGAGCAGTCAGGCTCACAGACCCCCACACTCCGCGTGCCATTCTCCCACGACTTTTTGTACTTAATGTATGAAAGATCCAAGCTAATATTGCTGTAAAAAGGAGAGACGAATTAATATAGCTTATTCTATAAATAGATCTGTATATAAGGGTTTCTGTATATTGTATAGAGCTGTGTATAAACTGAATGTGGACGCACATGGCTGCCTTGAGTGTCTTCCTGGCAGGCAGGCGGGCGGAGGGCGTGCTGCCAAGGTCGCCACAGAGCAGGGGAGGGACCCTCTGCCCCCGTTCCCTGGACAGACCTGGGAGCCTAAGGGGGAGACCGAGGTTCCTTGGGACCAAAGCCCATTCTGGCTCCCAAGACGCCAGGCATGTTTGGGATACAGCCCACCCGAGGCTGAGGGGGCTTCCCAGAGTTCACTGGGCGCACCGCCTGCCTGGACTCTTGTTATGATGCTGTGCGGGTTCAGGGGCCCAGGGTGCGCCAGACTGTGTGGGCCTAACGCTCCTGCTTGGCCAG